CCACCTTGCCACATACTTGTCCATTCTGCCACCCTTCCCACATACTTATCCATTCTGCCACCCTTGCCACATACTTGTTCATTCTGCCACCCTTCCCACAGACTTGTCCATTCTGCCATCTTCCCACATACTTGTCCATTCTGCCACCCTTGCCACATACTTGTCCATTCTGCCACCTTCCCTCATGCTTGTCCATTCTGCCACCCTCCCCACAGACTTGTTCATTCTGCCACCCTTGCCACATACTTGTCCATTCTGCCACCCTTCCCACATACTTGTCCATTCTGCCACCCTTGCCACAAACTTGTCCATTCTGCCACCCTTCCCACATACTTGTTCATTCTGCCACCCTTGCCACATACTTGTCCATTCTGCCACCCTTCTCACATACTTGTTCATTCTGCCACCCTTTCCACATACTTGTCCATTCAGCCACCCTTCCCACATACTTGTCCATTCTGCCACCCTTCCCACAAACTTGTCCATTCTGCCACCCTTCCCACAAACTTGTCCATTCTGCCACCTTCCCACATACTTGTCCATTCTGCCACCCTTCCCACATACTTGTCCATTCTGCCACCTTCCCAATTACTTGTCCATTCTGCCACCCTTCCCACATACTTGTCCATTCTGCCACCCTTCCCACATACTTCTCCATTCTGCCACCCTTCCCACTTACTTGTCCATTCTGCCACCTTGCCACATACTTGTCCATTCTGCCACCCTCCCCACAAACTTGTTCATTCTGCCACCCTTACCATATACTTGATCATTGAGCCACCCTTCCCATATTCTCGTCACTTGCCTGTTGAAACAAATGGATCCATGATGTTTATTATAATATATTCAAAATAAATCTAACCTGGTAAATGGAGAGGCGGGGGTGGCCACCAAAGAGTGACACAGGAATGACCGAGGTCAGTTCATTCTCTGACTATTGATCACATTGCTCATCCGGGCACCGTGGGTGGAACTTCAAGATCAAGACGAGGAGATGAAAGGCCATTGTGGGTAAAGTGTTCTATCGTGACGCCGAAATCCCCGAAATCCCCCCCGGCAGTATGTATATGTGAGGCACAATGACCGTGCATAAAAAATGTGACGTCATTAGTCATGACTTTTTTCATGCTGACAATGCTTTTTATACGGAAGCCTTTTAGGGGTATTTGTTTTTATATTTTTTTCGATACTATCTTGAAATTGCAAGATACTAAGTTGAAATTCCAAGATACTATCTTGAAATTTCAAGACACTAAGTTGAAATATCAAGTTATTATCTTGAAATTTTAAGATGATTATCTTGAAATTTCATCTTAGTATGTATATTGAAATTTCAAGAAAAACAACAACCCAAAAACATATGGCCCTAAAAGTTTCCGTATGTTTACCGAGTTCAATTATTATTTTACGTGTGTTTCGTATGGATTTTCATTACCCAATTTTCTTTCCTGAGTTACACTGAATGTGTGCCCTGCGTTTATCATCATGGCATAGGTACTTTATTCCAAGCGTTATTTATTTTTATTTTTTAGACTCTTATTGTGAACGTCCCATTATATATCGGGATATCCTGAGAGCGATGTTCCGTTACGTAGTCTGTTGCAGTTTCATCGTCTTCAACGTTATTGAGATAATAAACTATATAAACTGATAGTGAGGTGGTATATACTGAAAGTGAGGCGGTATATACTGATAGGGAGGTGGTATATACTGATAGTGAGGCGGTATATACTGAAAGTGAGGCGGTATATACTGATAGTGAGGCGGTATATACTGATAGGGAGGTGGTATATACTGACAGGGAGGTGGTATATACTGATAGGGAGGTGGTACATACTGATAGTAAGATAGTATATTCTGATAGTGAGATAGTATGTACTGATATTGAGATAGTATCTACTGATAGTGAGATAGTATATACTGATATTGAGGCGGTATATACTGATAGGGAGGTGGTAAATACTGATAGGGAGGTGGTACATACTGATAGTAAGATAGTATATTCTGATAGTGAGATAGTATATACTGATATTGAGGTGGTATATACTGATAGGGAGGTGGTATATACTGATATTGAGGTGATATAAACTGATAGTGAGATTGTATCTACTGATAGTGAGATAGTATATACTGATATTGAGGTGATATATACTTATAGTGAGATGATATATATACTGATAGTGAGGTAGTATATACTTTTAGTGAGATAGTATATACTGATAGTGAGATAGTATTTACTGATAGTTAGATGGTATATACTGATAGTTAGATGGTATAAACTGATAGTGAGATAGTATCTACTGATAGTGAGATAGTATCTACTGATATTGAGGTGATATATACTGATAGTGAGATGGTATAAACTGATAGTGAGGTAGTATATACTGATAATTTGCTTGAATATAATGATAGTGAGATAGTATATATTGATAGTAAGATGGTATCAACTGATAGTAAGGTAGTATATGCTAATAGTGAAATAGTATATACAGATAGTGAGATGGTAAATATTGATAGTGAGATCGGGGTAGAAATGGATAGTGTGATAGTGCATACTGATAGTGAGATGGTAGTATATACTGAAAGTGAGGTGGTATATACTGATAGAGAGATGATATAAACTGATAATGAGATGGTATTTACTGATAGTGAGATGGTATATACTGATAGTGAGGTTGTATATACTGAAAGTAATATGGTATATACTGACAGTGAGTTAGTATTTATTCATAGTGAGGTGGTATATACTCAAAGTGTGCTGTTATATGCTCATAGTGAGATGGCATTTATTGATAGTGAGGTGATATGTACTCACAATGAGGTGGGATATACTGACAATGTATGTATTTCAACTGACAAGAAACAGTCTCTGTTTGTTTTTTCTTAAAGGTCACTTTCTTTTAAACATCACACTCAGCTATTTGACGGCGGTCTGTAAATAATACAGTATGGACCAGATAAGCCAGTGATTGACATCATGAACATCGATCTAGGCTTATGGGATACGATGACATGCATCAGTCAAGTTAATGAGCCTGACCACCCGATCCCGTTTGTCATCCCTTACGAAAAGGTGGGTTGCTAAGGACCAATTGTAGCCCGGATATCGTATCGTTTTTGCAGCGAAACGGCTGCTGTGTCGGTGCTGAGTGCTTAATAAGGGTGGTTGGTTGGTTTGTTGTTTAACGTCGCGCTCAGCAATATTCCAGCTATGTAACGGCGGTCTGTAAAAACATCGAGTCTGGACCAGTCAATCCAGTGATTGGGACCGATGACATGCATCAACCAAGTCAGCGAGCCTCACCACCCGATCCCGTTAGTCGCCTCTTACGACAAGCATTGGTTGCTGAAAACCTAATAAGGGTGGAACAAACTGAGCTCTTACAAAGCAGAAAACCCTCTTCTAATATCCTGCCGATAAAATACAGAGATGATTTTAATTTTTTGTTCAGTGACGCATCAGTCAACAAAACTTATCTCCGATATTGACATCCAAAATGTTCCAAATGTTGCCGTGTTTTGCCTTTGTATGTGTTTGTGACAGGTGGGACAGGATACGCTCACCTTTTCGCGAACACCTCGTGTCCTAACTGTTTGATAGTGATTAATAAACACATGCTCATGAAAGAGTCGGAATCGTAAATGGACTCTTTTTGTGATTATGGAATGAATTTTGTCGCTTTTATTTATTCTGATTTCTCCAGAGCGGAATGCTACAGTCAGAATAGTGACTGGATGGAGATATGAAAACAATTTTTTATTATATTTAAACGGGACTTAATTCTTGACCAACGGGAAATAAAAACATACATGTATCAACACAAATATAAACAGAATTAGGTGCCGCTTTTGGGTGGTGGGATGGGGGTTTGGGGTTGTCTCAGGGGTTTCTGAGGTACTTATGTACTGAAAATACCACCCACCCCTCCCCCAAGTCTTTTCATTCTTTTATGTCCTTGTGCATTTTTTCACGAGACTTTATCTTTCCTTATATAAGTGTTATTTTTCATGAAACTCTCCAAGAGACTGGGGGCGGTCAGGTAGCCTGGTGGTTAAAGCGTTCGCTCGTCACGCCGAAGACCCGGGTTCGATTCCCGACATGGGTACAATGTGTGAAGCTCATTTCTGGTGTCCCCCGCCGTCATATTGCTGGAATAATAGTGCCAAAAGCGGCGTAAAAACATACTCACTCACTCACTCCATATTTTTGGGTGACCCTCCCCTGATTCTCTCTGACCCACTCTATAACGAATGACCGCCCACTCAACAGTAATTATCGCTGTGCAGAGTTGCGTCCCTTGGGCACGCCAGAAACCTATGATTGTGGGTTCGAATCCCGTTTCGCCCCGATTATGTTTGTAGGTTTGTCAGCACCATACCCGTGCTCGTGGGTTTCACCGAAGTGGTAAACGTATGAGACCTGCATCACTTCGGGCTTTCCTCCCATATTAAGCTGACACGCCGCGATATAACTGGAATACTGTTAAAAGCGGCGTTAAACCCAACTCACTCACTCACTCAACAGTAATTAATGTTAAAGAAGTATTTTCAAGTCACACACTAGGCGTCAGCACATTTTCCTCCATGCAAGATCGTCTGTCTCCTGATCACACACTTGGTTTTGTTGGCGATTACTCAACAGATAGATAAACTTAGATAGCAACCTAAAAAATGTTGACATACGAAGTTAGGATAGCGAGCTAGGTCGCCCTCTTCAGTGTATGAAGGGTGTGTGTCTTGCCAGCGCAGATACCAGCGTGAGGTTACACAATAGCCTGTCTCACAGTCCCCGAACCTTATCGTTTTCCCTTTCGCCAAGCCCTACTGTAATGCAAAAGTCCAAAATGAAGCAAGTCTAGATTTTCCAAAGGTTCTGAATCTCCCATCTCACTGGGGATCCTTTTCAATTGAAAAAGAGTTTTATGTTTCTATAAAAAAATATATATTTTCAGAGATTAAGCCTTAGTCTAGGTTACTTTTCTTGGTATACATTACTGAGTTTCGGAGTATTTAGTTTCTGTTTCGATTCAACAATATGGCATGAATGGTGTTCGCAGTATTTAGATACTGTTTATGTCGATCGATAAGGGCTGTACTCACTCTGGACAAAGCTCAATCATACACGTGCATGCGTTTGTTGGCTCTGTATTCCGGTAAGTTTTAATTTATACAGAAAGACCTTGAACATGTTGGGAGGGTCACTTGTAGGGCTGGGACAATTTACTACCCGGGTACCCACCTCCCTATTACCCGACCCTACCCGGGTACCCACCCTCTCTGTGTCTCAGGCGATGTCTCAAAATGTCCGATTGGGAACATGTTTAGCATAGACCTGGCAAAACGTATTTAGGTGTATTGAACAATCTTGTCTTTCATACACTGAAGTTGAATTAAGTTATATCTTTATTCAACCATATGAAAAATCAGAAGGAATGTGTGCATAGTCAGAGAGAAATGCGAACATTAGTGGCTTGTAGTGTTACCATAGAGTTGTAGATATTTTTTGTCATAAAACATCACGTGACTAACCACGGGTCCGGGTAGTCCTGTGGGTACCCGGGTCCTAATCAGTACCCACCCGACCCGGGTATCCGAGTTACTCGTCCCAGCCCTAGTCCCTTGGGTCCTTTCTTGTCCTGAAAGCCGACAGAGGTTCGGGTGGTTGTAGGTCACGGTGCTCCAACGGCTGGGTCGTTTGTTGATCACCAGATCTATTACTGTCTGTAATCCTGTCTGTAGCAACACGCACCCAGTCACTCGTCGTCATGGGCCGGTTGCTTTGAAAGAACTACAGTGTCGACGTTGCTGAATACAATACATTCAGCGTGTTTACTCAAGGGATTTCACGTGAAAGGAAAGTGTTAAGAAAAAACTGTCACAGTATTATTCCTTTTTTGAGTTTGGGTCATTATCCACAAAAGCCCCCTCTAGTAAATCTCATAGTAAATCGGGCATACTAATTAAATAAAACACAGGGGGATTAAATTAAAAAAAATGTTTTATTTTATTTAAATGACAAATGCAATTTGTCGTCCAGACGATATCTGCATTTAAATTACTGAAGTAACGTTGTTCAATCGAATGCCCTTAATATGACTAGATATAAGTTCAAAACAATTACACTTTCAGGCCATATTACCACTTAAGTGAAACCCACGAGCACGGGTATGGTGCTGACAAACCTTTTAAAATAATTTGGGCAAATTTGGAATTCGAACCCCACCATAAGGATTCTGACACGCCTCAGATATGCAACTTTGCACAACGAATTGCGGCGCATTAAACGGTTGCCTCTCACACCCCCACTACCACCCCAAGTTTTAAAAAATAATAATTTGAGGTTAACGAGGTTCTATTCACTATAATTTTCCGTCGCGCTGAATTATCAGTCTAGCGTGTTCAGTATAAATGATCACACAGTGATTCAATGATTCACATATCACGAGATGCATACGTCAGCTGTCATGCGACAATTGTACTTGGCGCATCATAGAGGTAAGTTGTCAAACAAATATTATCGATTGTTATAACCGAGTCACCATGGTGTAACCGAAACACACGCTTCTTTGTATTTCAACTTTCGATTTGTGTTCTGGTGGACAAAGCTGTTATCGATTGTTATAACCGAGTCACCATGGTGTAACCGAAACACACGCTTCTTTGTATTTCAACTTTCGGTTTGTGTTCTGGTGGACAAAGCTTTTTACTGTTCAGTGTCGCGTATTTGTCGGATTGCCTGCTTGAGTTGATCGTCACGGCGGGTACACTGTCGTTGGTTGGTTGGTTGGTTTGTTGTTTAACGCCGCACTCAGCGATATTCAAGCTATATCACGGCGGTCTCTAAATAATGGAGTCTGGACCAGACAATCCAGTGATTAATATCATGAGCATCGATCCACCCATTTGGGATCGATGACATGCATCAACCAAGTCAGCGTGCCTGACCACCCGATCCCGTTAGTCGCCTTTTACGACAATCATAGTCGCATTTTACGGCAAGCATGGGTTGCTGAAGACCTATTCAACCCCGGATCGTCACGGCGGGTACGCTGTGAGTGAGTGGGAATGGTTGAACGTCGTTTTTAGCAATATGTCTGCAGTATCACAGCGGGGGACACCAGTATTGGGCTTTACACATTATTTATACTCTTGTTGGGGATCGAACCCGGGCCTTCGGCGTGACGAGCGAACGCTTTAACCACAAGCCTACCCCACCGCGCCTACACCATAGGTACATTTATCAACTATAATGGAGTCGAAAAAGAGCATCGCATTCTCAATGATTCGGGTCTGAATGTAACGATTTGCCTCCCGGTGCTGTTCATTTGATCACACATCGGTCGATAGTGCAGTTAGTTGTGAGGGGCATTCAGCACACTGGAATAAGAATTCGAAGCCACACTTAGCCTTACAGAGTTACGTCCCTTAGGTCCAATGATTGTGGTTCCAGCAAGGTTATAAAAAGACCTGCATCACTTCGGGCTTTCCTCCCACACACTTATACGCCGTGATATGCCGAAATACTACAACGCGGCGTTAACCCAAATTCACACACACGCACGCACGCACGCACGCACTCACTCACGCACGCACGCACGCACGCACGCACACACACACACACACACACACACACACACACACACACACACACACCCACGAACCTTCTGATCCGAGGTCGAACGCATTGTCCACATGACCAAAGAGGTTAACCCCTTGATCAAGCTGACAAGGTAAGAATGTCCATCTGTGGATGACTCCATGTCCTGTTACATACTCCTCGTCAACAAAGGTTCACGTTCCGGGCCGCATAGCAACTTATTTTGCTCAAATTCAATATATAGTATCACAGAGTCGTAGACAGGAGCAATACATCTTTGTCTGAATGAAGCGATTTGAGTCGCAGCACAGTTTCCATTAAGTGTACATAGTTGTGCCGGTACTGCGCCCCGGCGGTAGAAGATGCCGTGATTGGTTTTGTTCCGCCAGGACTCCGTGGAATGTCAGCTCCACACTTGTGGCTTTGCTCACAGATTAAACAGAACTTCTTCTTTTTCTTCTTCTTCTTCTCCTTCTTCTTATGTACAGATCAAAATACAAAATGCAGCAAAGAGGGTTTGGGTGATCCTGGCACAGTCAGGCTGGTTAGGCTCATCATCAGCTCAGGGCCCTTGGCCCTTCTACACGCAGGCCAGACAGCGAATGGGACTCCTCCAAGGAAGCGCTGCCAAGTCAAACTTTTCGGAGAATGTGAAGATTCCCCAACACTACAGCCTTCTGCATTACCCAGATTGTCAGAAGGGCTGTATTCTTGGTAGCAAACCCGGGTACTCCCCCGATTAAGCGAGCGAGTTGTATTTAACGCCGCTGTGAACATTATTTCAATGATATCAAGGACGTGTCAGCTTAATGTGGGAGGAAAGCCCAAAGTGATGCTGGTCTCAGACGTTTACCACTTTGATGGAATACACCGGCACGGGTATGGTGCTGACAAACCATGGGAACATAATTTGGGGAATTCGAACCAACGTTCTTTGATTTCCAACGTTTCCAAGAGACGCAACTCTGCACAAAGAATTGCAGGACCTCAGACGAATCGGCCCCCCGGGCCCCCTGCCCGAAAAATGTTTCAGTATCTGTTCACGAACAATGTCATTGGATTATTGTTATTTACAGTGGATGTTTGATCGTCATATATTCCAGATGGCAGAACAAGGCGTCCGTCACAAGGTTGTGGAAAACGTCGATGACTGCGTCAAGGCCGTCGATGACCTCCTTCGGGAATCTGTCGTTGCTATTGACTGTGAGGGAATCAATCTCGGAAAGAAGGGCCCTCTCACCCTCCTCCAGGTTGCCAAACTAGACGGTTTTGTCTACCTGTTCAATGTGTTCGCCGAGCCAAAGGTCTTCACTGAAGGCCGACTGAAGTCTTTTTTGGAAAATGGAAACATCGTCAAGGTATGTTTGTCCAGTTATTAACGCAATCAACGTCTCTGAATGGACACACACACTCAAACATGACCTCAAAGACTGTCGTTGGGTGGCTGCGGTTTCAGCCTCACAAATTTGCATTCTATTTGACTTTGGAGTTACGTTTTCAGATATATGTTATTGATGGAAAATTCAACAAATGATTAAAAAGGAAAACACTTTATGTATGACGAGATAAAATTGTGACAATGATCAGGCATTCAGTCCACAAAACTATCTTTTACAGTTAGTTTAGTGCAGGTTTTAACGTAATTTACGCGTACATTCTCTAGTCGGACGGACATCAAGTCATCTGGACATGTATGAGTTCATACGTACGTAAATACGTATGTAAAAACATGCATATATGCATGTAAATATATATGTAACGGCTGTAGGGTGAAGACAATAGTTTATACTTATACATTATGTATTCGGCCTGTTTCACATTGAGCTACCCCCACCACCAATTCAACTGATACGCCGTGAAATAAATAATGTGTGAACCCACATCACACCACGAAGTCGATCGTAATCTTTTCTGTGATTTTCAGGTATTTCACGCCTGTAATAATGACAGCGCTGCCCTGAAGTGTCAGTTTGATGTCATGCTGACCAATGTCTTTGACGTGCAGGTAAGGTGAAATGATAGGCCCACATTCTCTCCTTTACAAATACTGCACATATTTTATCGTATCCATGTCACTGTTTTGACTGAAACTATCGAATAAAGTCCTTAAACACCCCATCCATATGCCTTCTGCATGCAGACATCCCAGCATTATACTGCTGTTAATAAACAACTTACCCATAAGTCTATTGTATGTTTACCCATGTGTCAACCATGTGTCTTACACACGTGTCTACAGCCCACCTATATTGCTACTGTGTTCAAACATCCCATTCGTGTGTCTACTGTATATACATACCCAATCCATAGGTCTACAATATAATTCCGCCCCACCAATATGTATACACTGTACAAACACTCAACCAATATGTCTACTTTGTACAACACCCAACCAATATGTCTACCTTGTACAAACACTCAACTAATATGTCTGCTTTGTATAAACACACTATCTATTTACTTTGGTACAGTAATGTCCCTTTTTATGTTTTACCAGGGAGTATCTAACGTCCCCCTATATGCTGTACCTGGGTGTGGTAAACGTCCATTGGTTTGTTATATGACGTGATGACATCATGGCTTATGTCCCACAGACGGCTCTTTTCATCATTGAAAAATCTGAAGGGAGACAACTCCCAACTCCCCGGAAGTTGATGGATGTTTGCGGCCGGTACACTGACGTCACTTCCCTTGAGGGAAAAGATGATGTTATAGTAAGTTATGCGTAACTGCGGAGAGGAGACTTTAAAGTGTACATTTGACTTCACTAGGTACTGTTTGTAACTATTATACTTCTGTAACAAATGTTTAATTTGGGATAATCAAAGAGTTGCCTATGATTTTAGCCACTGGCTGGTCTGGTCCAGATGTCATCACTTACAAGCTGATATCATTGGAATGTTGCTGACTTTGGCATAAAACAAAGTTCACTCACCATTCTTCACATGTTTTCTTCCCCCGTGAAGATCTGGGCTTGAATTGATCTTCAGCAACCCATGCTTGTCGGAAGAGGCGACTAACGGGATCCATTTGCGTTGATCGATGTTCATGATGGCATGATTCACTGGATTGTCCAGTCCATAAAGCTGGGACATGGTGTTTCGTTTAAGAAATGACGCAAACATTCCTTGGTACCACGGGTAAGAAGCTTGCTGACAACTTCCTCTGTCTGATTCAGGCAAAATGGTACAAAAACGATGCTGCCTATTGGGCCAGAAGAGATTTCACACCGGAAATGACAGACTACGCATGTGCAGATGTACGGGTTCTGATTCCAGAGGTGTATGGCAAGCTGAAAAGGTAGGTCAAACATGACAAAGGTGTAACTATCGGGGATATTAAAATATTACATCACACTGCAACGATCATACCGTTCCAGTGATTCGATACGAGGGCAAACGTGTCCTGGCATGGCAGCCATGTCTCAGGGACGGTAGATTTGTTGTTGAAAACTAAACTCTGAATTCAGTACGAAATGAAGTGTTTTTCTGTGAATCCTTTCGCACGCAACTTCATCACTTGTTTGTCTGTTTTGTTTAGATGTTTCACCGCTATCTTGCCTTTTACGCTTTTGGTTATTCTAGACGTTGGCTTGGTTTGTTGTTTAACGCTGCACCCAGCAATATTCCAGGAATATGACGGCGGTCTGTAAATAATCGAGTCTGGACCAGACAGTCCAGTGATTGATATCATGAGCATCGATCAACGCATGGAATCGATGACATGTATCAACCAAATCAGCGAGCCTGACCACCCGATCCCGTTAGTCGCCTTTTACTACAAGCATAGTCGCCTTTTACAGCAAGCATGGGTTGCTGAAGACCTATTCTTCCCCGGATCTTCACGGTTCTCTAGACGTTGGCATTATATATTCAAAAACATTTATCAGTGCGTCAGTTTGTTTTTTTGTATCACGTCGATCCAAACTATCGAAGCTGAACTTTCCATTGATGTTTTTCGTTTGACACATTGACAGTTGCAGTGCACCTATAAAGTTCGATATAGATTAATCGTTTCACTACAAACTTAGTAGGTCAGCTTTGCTTATTTTTTTTCCCCCGAGTTTAAAATACTTTGATATTCGATCCCTGGCTACGTCATATCAAAACACGTTGGTAGATGGTGTTTGTTGTTACCCTGCCTGTCGAAAGGAAGAAAGGCAGAAAGGACATAAAACAAGGACTCGTAAGCTCGGAGTCGGTATTCTGTGTCTGAGTGGGGTGTCCAGGTTGAATTGCGGCATGGTATCTCAATGGGCAATCACTATGTAGCCACCAGGGCAATTACAATCAGACCCACATAAACACGGAATCTTGAACACAACGTTCGACCCTATTTTACCCCACCTCACCTCAATTGATATTCAGCGTCATCCACAGTGAGTGAGTGAGTGAGTGAGTGAGTGAGTTTGATTTTAAGCCGCTTTTAGCAATATTCCAGCAATATCACGGCGGGGGACACCAGAAATGGCCTTCACACATTGTACCCATGTCGAGAATCGAACCCGGGCCTTCGGCGTGACGATCGAACGCTTTAACCACAAGGCTACCCGGCCGCCCCGAAACCCACAAGAAATGGTATGTTTCTGATACGGAATTTCAAGTTAGGGTCGCAACTGTGGACATCATTTATGATTTCACTTATATGTGACTTTGGTCCTATCAGATCGCGAGTCACGGTCGGTCCACCTTGGGCTTGACGTGGTCCCCCTATCTTATCGTACGAGGCAACTGAATGGATGGGGCTGTCAGACCTTGGCCGCGTTACACTAAGCCATCTTCGCGCTACGGTGATCGTAGTTCCCAGTCACAGTGACTGCTATATGTACAATATTTCCTTCTTGTTTGCAGTGTACTTGACGAGAAGGATCTCTGGAGGGGTTTTAGGGAAAAGGTTCATTACGAGCTCAACTTTCGATGGAACGAAGCAGTAAAGGGGGAAAGCGATGAGGTCATGTCAGTCGTGAAGAAAGTTCTGCGCAAATTTCCGTCGAAGTACGCAGGCGATGCCACGTTTGATGATATTTCGGATGAAGATGACCTTCAAGCTCTCAAACAAGTCCGAATCACAGAAATTGGCGAGTTTCCTGGTGTTGTCATTAAGTTGAAACACGAATTTCTCAAGCATGAGCTAAAAACGATAGAACAAGAACTGAGTTCAAATGGAGACTCATTTGTTGCGACGGGATTTCATCTCAATATGTTGTATGCCGCACAGAAAAGCAATAACGTTGAACTGAAGAACTCAGCTCGGAGACTGCAGGAGAGAGTAAATAATATACTCAAGAACGATCTCACCGTCAAATACACGGAGCGAACCCCAAGCGACCATCTCAAAGAGGAAGAGAGGAGGTTTTTACGCAACCTTCCTGTCTCAACCGGAACCAGCTCAGTGGTCAACCCCGTCCTTCGCCATCTTTACAACGTCAGCATTGACAGTGATGTGGAGGATATCGAGACTCTGCGGCAGAAGTTCTCGCGTATAGGGAGTCGTTTCAGACTTAAGGATGCAGACCACCGACTATATAAATACTACATCAGCGCTCCTGGAGTTCATCCAAGGCTTAAGGCTAAGGCCAAGCTTTTTCTGAACGAGTTACAGGAGGCTGGGCTGGTGGCAGCGCCCCGAAGGAGGCAGCGGTTGTTGGATTTTAATTATTAGGCTTTAATTTATTACCAGAGTATAATCAATATATGCATATCAAGTCAAGCATTAATGAAAAGATTTAATGCGATTCCAGTTGTATTGACCATTTTTCACAATGCACTGTGTTCTTGGCGAGGTCAATAACATTTATTATTGTATATGAAATTAATTAATAGATAATCTTGGTATGTCGTAGTTTGTCTCTCGTTAGATATTATATCGGAAATGATCCGTCTATAAATATGATAAATGATTGCCCCCTTTCATTTCTATTTTACTGTAAATATGTTTTAGCTTTCCATGTACTTTTTATCATCTCAGCTGTTATTTGTTTTTTCTCCTGATGATTTCTCCTGTTGATGAATTGCTCTGAAACGCCAATTGGTATACAGTTACCTGTAACAACTGACGTTGAATGCTATTTCTTGTACATGTATCTTGTGTATACAATTAGATACACCAAAGTTCCGGGGTAGAATAGGTCTTCAGCAACCCATGCTTGCTCTAAAAGGCGACTATGCCTGTCCTAAGAGGCGACTAACGGGATCGGGTGGTCAGGCTCGCTGACTTGGTTGATGCATGTCATCGATCCCAATGGCGTGGATCGATGCTCATGATGTCAATCACTGGGTTGTCTGGTCCAGACTCGATTATTTAGAGACCGCCGTCATATAGCTGGAATATTGCTGAGTGCAGCGTTAAACAACAAACAAACAAACAAACAAGATACACCAATGCTGCTTCCTAACGCCGATGGGGCGGTCGGGTAGCCTAGTGGTTAAAGCGTTAGCTCGTCACGCCGAAGACCCGGGTTCGATTACCGACATGGGTACAATGTGTGAAGCCCATTTCTGGTGTCCCCCGCCGTGATATTGCTGGAATATTGCTAAAAGCGGCGTAAAACCATACTCACTCACTCACTCCTAACGACGATGCATTGCGCCCGTCGCGGGCACCCCTAATGTGAACAATGAATTTAGTTGCCACAGAATGTATTATACCGTGTCTGTCCCTGAGGGTTATTGTAAAGTCAGTTCGACATGTATGTGAAACTTTATTTTCAAATTTCTCAATACTGATTGCTCTTTGTTACAGTTGCATCACACTGATGTGGTCAATAATACAGTAAACTACGGTTATAATGAACTCAAAAGGACTACTAATTTTAGTTCGTTATAACCGTAATTCGTTATAAGCATATATACAGTATAATTACAGCAAATAGTCGGGACTAAAAAGTTAATTTCTTTATATCCGTTAGTTCGTTATAAGCGTGTTCGTTATAACCGTAGTTTACTGTATTGTCGCGATATTGGTAGATGTTTATATTGATGTTTATTTTGTTTGTAATAATTTGCTTTAGGTAAACACTACGATCCCATGTAACCAGTTTCGCTATGGGTATTGGATAAGGGACGGGGAAGAAGTGGGACTACCCTGGTGACATGTTACGCAAATTTGTCTCATCACTAACCATCATCAATCCGAAGCATTGATGCCCCTGTATTTTTTTCAGTCCATTCAGCAAGTTAATACTTTTGCCTTTGTACTAGTATTATTTGTATTCTATGCAGTATGTACAATACTTTGTTCCCAAATCATAGAGTTGATATTTTATGCATTTTAAAAGGTTTTCCAACAAATATAGATATTTCATGAAAGACACATTATCTACTAAACGCCCATGCTTGCTGTAAAAGGCGACCATGCTTGTCGTAAGAGGCGACTAACGGGATTGGGTGGTCAGGCTCGCTGACTTGGTTATGCATGACATCAATCCCAATTGCGTTGATCTGTTCTCATGATATTAATCACTGGACTGTCTTGTCCAGACTCGATTATTTAGAGACCGCCATCTTATAGCTGGAATATTGCTGAGTGCGGCGTTAAACAACAAACCAACCAACCAACCAAGCTACTATACACAAGTTCTTTACTCATGAAAACTTCTTTTATGTGAAACATTAATTTCCCAGTGCAGTCGTATTAAATTTAAACAAATCAAAAACAACTTTCATGTCCAATTTTAAACAGTAATACGCCAGTCAATTGTGTATATGGAGTTTGAGTACGTATTTGTGTAATACGGATAAGTTAAAAAATAATATGCCTACTTTGCCAAATATCAGAAAGGTAATATTCTGATTGTCGTCATAACCGTCCAGTTTACCACCGTCACTTTCAGGAGGATGTTCACGGATCATTTCAAGCAGGGCACCGGTGGCCCAGTCATCTAAGGAGCCGCAATTCACCGAGTTGCGTCCCTTGGATATGCCAGAAACCTATGATCGTGCGTTCGAATCCTGGTTCGCCCCGATAGTGTCTCTAGGCTTGTTGGACCCATGCTATACCCGTGTATGTGTTCGTGGTTTTCATTGATGTGGTAAACATGCCACGATGTAACAAAATATTGCTCAATCCGGAGTTAAACCAAACTCACACATGCATGTGGTATTTAGTGAAGAACTGTGCACAGAATCGGCGCTGTGACTCTTGCCACATTTGGCTATTTATTTCAATATAGATGTAGTTGTATATTATTGGTCAGTATAATAAATTATTAAAGTGGCTGACAAACTTATTGCTTGTTTTTTACCAATACATTGTGAATAAGAAATTGTATATCTCTAACTTCAAAACTGCCCATATTGTTACCCTGCCTGGCGCTCGGCATTAAGCAGCATGGTATCTCAGTAAAATCGGCATTAGCCCTGACTAGAACAAGCAGCCACACACACGTGCATACTCGTCGCCTTATAAATGCGACACTCTAGAACGAGACGTGAAACCAAATTTAAACTCACCATCCCTCTCACTGTAGGGAAACATGTGGCTGTTAGTAACCCAAGATCGCCAGGAACCAGTCACGAGTCAATCAATGATTGTTTAGAGTTACCCCCCTTTGAAAAATCATAATTTTCCTGGAACGTAGTTTCGGTTTGCATTCCTCACACAAACCCGTCGATCTAGAGCGGTGGTAGTATTTAAGCTGATGTCTTGACCCTGCAACATAACACAGTGAGGTACGTGCTTTAAACTATAACATAACACACTCCTGACAAACGACCAGCAAATCACCAATAGCTTGTTCCTGTGACAGTCACCATGGACATAGTCGCAAATCCCATGTAGGTATTACATCGGTGAGTTTTGAGGACCAGGATGTGTAATGCAGTTCGTCAACAACATATCGTAGTTAACGGTTCATCGCCCACAGATTCGTGTCTGTCAGGTCACACTAACATATCACTACCGCACGCATTATAGTAAGGAGCCTGTATTATAATATTTGTGCATTGAGGTTCACGTTGTGGTAAATATCTATATGCATTATAATGGTTATATTACCGTACACGTTATGGTAAATATTAGTGAGATGGTTATTGGCACATTACCGTAAACGTTATGGAAAATATATGTGTGTATAATATTTTGGTACATTACATCCAATGTTATGGTAAACATCTATATTTATAATATTTATTACATAACATCACACTATATAGTAATCCTATGTATGTATAAAATTTGTTACATTACTGTACACGTTATTAAAAATGTCTGTATAATATTTGTTGCATTACCGTACACGTTATGGTAAATATCAGTACGTTTGGTATTTGCAGCACAGCCGTTTCGGGGAATAGCAGTATGTCTGGTATTTGTAGCACAACCGGACATGTTATGGTGAATATCAGTAAGTCTGGTGTATGCAGCACTACCGTACACGTTATGGTAAATATCAGTATGTCTGGTCATTGTAGCACTACCGGACACATTACGGTAAATATCAGTATGTCTGGTCATTGTAGCACTACCGGACTTGTTATGGTAAATACCAGCAAGTATGGTATTTGTATCACTACCGTACACGTTATGGTAAATATGAGTATGTCTGGTGTCTGCGCACTACCGGACACGTTACGGTAAATATCAGTATGTCTGGTCATTGTAGCACTACCGTACATGTGTTTCAGTAAATATAAGTAAGTATGGTATTTGTAACACTACCGTACACGTTTAAAACCATTTGACCCATGACTTTGTGCTTTGAGCTTTTGCAGTGGAATGCCCTTGATCAAATTTTCAAATTTGACTCAAGCATTTTGGGAGGGAACGATTATTAAATAAAGAAAATCATTAAGTAACCGCTCAGATTGAAAATATTCAGTGATATATTTACGATTGTCGCGGAAAGCTTCAGCGTATGTTATTAACAGTATTCCAGTTATTTATCCATAGTGATAGAGCTGAAACCATTGGAACACGACCACCGGTTGACAAATCAATTATCCCAATTATTATGCAAGGCGCGTTTTTGATTGTGATCGATGATCACCGGATCCTGGCACGGCTGGGGAAGGCAACTCATTAGCAACGTGTAGGTCCTTTGATCAAAGGACCATCCATGTTCTTCCGGAGTCATAATGAGTGAGTGAGTGAGAATGGTTTTACGCCGCTTTTAGCAATATTCCAGCAATATCACGGCGGGGGACACCAGAAATGGGCTTCACACATTGTACCCATGTCGGGAATCGACCTGGGTCTTCTGCGTGACGAGCGAACGCTTCAACCACTAGGCTACCCGACCACCCCCCGGAGTCATAAAGTTAACCGGGATTAGAACTGATGATCAGCTATTCCTGGAACGGCTAAGGAACGCCAGCGGCAGTAGGCTAGCAATTTGTTTAGCACACCCGGCTTATGTGATTCAGTTACCTCTAACACTAGTTTATCTGCGAGTTCAAATGTACTGACAATTAATCAGTTACTGATTACCTTAGTGAGTGAGTGAGTGAGTGAGTGAGTTAAGCAATGTTCCAGCAATATCACGTCGGGGGACACCAGAAACGAGCATCACACATTGTACCCATGTGGGGAATCGAACCCGTGCTTTCTGTGTGACGAGCGAACGCTTTAACCACTTGACTACCCCACGCCCCCCTAAATACCTTCCTTAATCATACAGGGAAAACGTCCTAATTACAACGTTTAGAACTGGACAGAACATGGACACCAGACCGTAGGTCACAGAGCCCCTTTAAGGAAATACTGTCTATGCTAATTAAATCATTGATAACAAGAAGCAACCTAAGCTATCACAGCATACTCATTTCTTTATTTTCAGATGGCAGAACAAGGCGTCCGTCACAAGGTTGTTGATAACGTCGATGACTGCGTCAAGGCCGTCGATGACCTCCTACAGGAATCTGTCGTTGCTATGGACTGTGAGGGAATCCACCTTGGGAAGAAGGGCCCTCTCACCCTCCTCCAGGTTGCCAAACTAGACGGTTTTGTCTACCTGTTCAATGTGTTCGCTGAGCCAAAGGTCTTCACTGAGGGCCGACTGAAGTCTTTTTTGGAAAATCAAGACATCATCAAGGTATGACCATCGGTTAACTAATATCTCCGCGGGGTGTCATGAACAATGTTGGTGTTTGCCATCAACAATGTAACTCTTAGATAAAAACAATGTAGGTCTTTGACATAAACAATGTACATGCTAGACATCAACAATGTAGATGTTTGACATGAATGATGCCGATGTTGCACATGAACCGCAATGTTGTTATTTTGTTGTTTTTTTGTTTGTTTTTTGTTCAATGCCGCACTCAGCAATATTCCAGCTATATGACGGCGGTCTGTAAATAATCGAGTCTGGACCAGACAATCCAGTGATTGATATCAGCATCAATCCACGCAATTGGGATCGATGACATGCATCAACCAAGTCAGTGAACCTGGCCACCCGATCCCGTTAGTCGCCCCTTACGACAAGCATAGTCGCCTTTTGGGTTGCCTTTTGGGTTGCTGAAGACGTATTCTACCCCGGATCTAATAACGATGTCAGACATGATCTGGAATGCTATTTGACATTAACATTGAATGATGTTTGACATGATCTGGGCTGATGTTTGACTTGAACTTCAATCTTGCCATTGTTTAACGCGGCACTGTTTCCTTTGATTCAGGTGTTTCATGCCTGCAGCAACGACAGCGCTGCCCTCAAGGCCCAGTACGACGTCATGCTCGTCAATGTGTTTGATGTACAGGTCAGTTCTTTTGTTGTTTAACGCCGCACTCAGCAATATTCCAGCCATATATGACGGCGGTCTGTAAATAATCGAGTCTGGACCAGACAATCCAGTGATTGACACCATGAGTATCGATCCACGCAATTGGCATACGATGACATGCATCAACCAAGCCTCACCACCCGATGCCGTTAGTCGCCTCTTACGACAAGCATAGTCGCCGTTTATGGCAAGCATGGGTTGCTGTAGACCTATTCTACCCCGGTCTTCACGGGTCTACAGGCCAGTATCAGCTTTTGTTAACACAGGTTGCACAGGAATTCGCGAGACATAACCTCGTCCGTCTATTGACTTTCGGGTTCAAAATGCCACCATTTATAAGCACATGGCGCTGATGACCTACCGACATGTATTCTGCTGAGGATTCCCGCGGTTATCTTAAGCAGCGCATATGTATTTACTTTGTTACACAGTGTTTTTTGCTTGGTAATATGATCTCCGTTTTATGTCTTCAAGATAAGCCATCCCAAGGTCCCTCTGCATAAGGTGAGGTGAGGTGAAATTGGGTTTAACGTCGCGTCCAAATTATTGCACTTGTATAGCGACGTGCATGTACGTGTATGTGTTTGTGTGGCTGCTTGTACTAGTCCGGACTGATGCCGATTTATAGTGCTAGCTCACTGAGATACCATGCCGCAGTTTAACATGAATACCCCACTCAGACACAGTATACTGACTCCGAGCCGACCAGTCCTTGTTTAAGCCTCTTAATGCCGAGCGACAGACAGGGTAACAACAAGTACCAACTTTTAACGTCTTTTGGTATGACGCGGCCGGGGATCGAACCCTGGACCTTCCGCTCTCCGGGCGGACGCTCTACCAATAGGCCACGGAGGCGTTCCCTCTGCATAAGGACCAGCACTGGGCGTGTTAATGGAATGTCATTTTGTAACTTCAAACTCCACAATCTCTGCTCAGATCCGAGCACATTCTGACCACTAGAGGATATAGTATATTAATACGTAACATTTTTCTGCAACCATGAGAGTGAGACATTTAACACGGCTGCTCTTGATTCGTAGACCGTCGCTAAGATCGACGTATGGATACAAGACCCGGCGATCTCACACCTTACCCAGCCTCTATAGTCACGTGACACAAAATAAGGTCAGCTTCGGCGTGTGAACTTGACTGCTGTTTTGTTCGGCGTATTTGTCGTTTTTTTAATGCCATTCATCAAGGTGTTCATGTATGTGTCTGTTCTCCTTCAGGCTGCCCAGTATATCATTGAAAAAGCTGAAGGGAGACAACTCCCATCTTACCGGAAGTTGATGGATCTGTGCGGTCGGTACACTGACGTCACATTGCTAGAGGGGAAAGACGAAGTTCAAGTAGGTCATATGAGTTAATGTCATATGTATCATTTGAAAAACAGATTTCTTATCCACTCACGTAAAGTGCCCAGAATTGTTGTCACCGGTCTGTCATTGCTGACGTCATATGAACACGGCTACCTATAAATTAGGGCTCGGACGGGTAACTCGGGTACCCGGGTCGGGTGGGCACTGAGTAGGACCCGGGTACCCACAGGACTACCCGGACCCGTGGTTAGTCACGTGATATATTGTCTAATGACTAAAATTATCTGGAACTCTATGGTTACACTACAAGTCATTAATGTTCGCTTTTATTTCTGACTATGCACCCATTCCTTCTGATTTGTCATAAGGTTGAAGAAAGATATAACTTAAGTCAACTTCAGTGTATGCATGACCAGATTGTTTAATACATGTATCTAAATACGTTTTTTCCAGGGCTATGCTAAAAAAGTTCCCAATCGGATATTTTGAGACATCTCCCGAGACATAGAGAGGGTACCCGGGTAGGGTCGGGTAATAGGGGTGCGGGTACCCGGGTAGTAAATTTGGACTCGTCCCAGCCCTACTATAAATAATTTGTATCTGTATTCTGCACTGCAGCTAGTTACGATTGCATGGTTTGGATACATAATGAATATCCTGTTATTTCTGTGAGGGTATCGTTTGTATTTGACAGAGTTTCAGACTCAATTATCGTTAAGAAAATAGCACAAACTCGTGTGGTAGTCTGTCTAAAATTACATGGTATTTAGTGATTGGACAAAGCCAAATTTATACTTACTGAGGTAAATGTAGTCTCGACAAATATATACATTGTTACAAGGTTATGTAAACTTGACAGTCTCACATCGATACCGCACTAAATTATATTATTACCGTATTTCCTCTATTACAGCCTCTAATAGACGCCGGCCTCTATTAGAAGCCGGGTCAATTGTTCAGTGCAAAAAATAGAAGCCGGGCCTCTAATAGACGCCGGGTCGATCAATTGATACAATTAATGATCCAGGACATTCGTGGTCATAGTGAAATGGGGGTATTAATAGAAGCCGGGCCTCCAATAGACGCCGGGCCTCTAATTGACGCCGGGTCAAAGGCTTGTCCGAAATACATAGAAGCCCGAGCGTCTAATACAGGAAACACGGTATTATGTTATACGTTGTGACTGTGCGTTTTTGCGCCTTTTGAACTGTGTAACGTGATGCACAGTGTCCTTTTCTAATGTGTTCATACTATAGGTGATTCGGTGGTATTTGATTGGCTAACCAAGCATTTTGTATGTATTTATATTCCATAAAAAGAAACAAATATCAGGCTACGCCAACAAGCTGACCACTGTTGTGTTGAGTTATTGGGCTGAACGACGTCACTGTTGTGTTGATGTCTTCAGTATTTGTGTTAATGATTAAATCAGCAGTCTGGGGTGTTCTTATTGTCGAGGGGTCACGAGTGGCCCAGTCGTCCAAGGCGCAGAGTTGCGACCCTTGGGCACGTCAGAAACCTATAATTGTGGGTTCGAATCCCGGTTCGCCCCGATTAAGTTTCTAGGTTTGTCAGCACCATACCCGTGTTTGTGGCTTTCACCGAAGTGGTAAACGTCTGAGACCTTCATCACTTCGGGCTTTCCTCCCACATTAAGCTGACACGCCGTGATATAACTGTAATACTGTTGAAAGCAGCGTTAAACCCAACTCACTCACTCACTCTTATTGTTGAGTTATTTATTTATGAGAAATCATACCGATTTTTAGTCCCCCCACCCCCCATAAAAGCAATTACATAAATTCTATCTCAGGTACGGACATATATTTTTAACCTTAAATCAGCATGTGGGTGCAGGAGCTACAGGTACTATATCGAAAATATAAATGGTAACCTTATCCATTTTATGCCAAAAAACATAATGTTTTTCATGTTATTAATGTTAAATTTAGTTTTGAAACAGTAAATGTTACAACAAATATTTCTTATATGATATTTTATATAATCTGGTTGATGCATATCCAAAACGTTTCAGTTACATCTTACATTCTTGTAACACACAGGCGAAATGGTACAAGACTGATGGCGCATACTGGGCAAAAGCAGAATTGTCACCGGAAATGGTAGACTACGCATGTGCAGATGTCCGGATTCTGATACCAGAAGTTTATGACAAGCTGAAGCGGTAGGTAATATGGTTTGTTTTGTGAGTGGGTTTGGTTTCAAGCCCTTTGAAACAGTTTTGCAGATTTATCTATTCGTGTAGGAGGAAATATATGCAGGGCGATGGGGTAGCCTAGTGGTTGAAGTGTTGGCTGGTAACGTCGAAGTTTCGGGTTCGATTCCCCACATGGGTATGTGATCCTGCTGGAATATTGCTAAAAGCGTCGTAAAACAATACCACACTCACTGATGTGGACGGGCATGGTTCTGGAACACCAAGAATGGTAAAACAAGGCGAATATAGGATTTAAAACCCATGGTCATCGGATGTGCACGCCTAAAGGACGCAACTCTGCACAGCAAATTGCAGCACCTTTCAGTTGATATGTAAAGCTTTCCTGCTGACATAATTGAGTTTGGTCCAAAAATCAATGTTGTCATGGTTACCAGGGCTTTTCTTTAGGGATTTCGTCTGAGGTTTGGCTTAGGCTATTAAAACAGCAGAGGGTATATGTTTCGCGAACACCTGGTGTCGTCACTGATTTTCACTCAAATAACATTCACCCCCTTTTTTTCCTTTTACGCCCCATGGAATCTGTTTCTGCAGATAATCGAGACTGAGTATTCTTGTAAAAACTGGAACCACTTTATAACAATGCCTTTTCTCTAGAGAGTCACCAAACGTTTTAAACGTATGGGACCTGGGTCACGTTGGGCCTTCCGCCAACATTGTAACGTCGTGATGAAACGGACATTCAGACATACAGAATTAATTCCACCCTTCAGTCACTCACTTCCTAGTTTGCTATGGGAGTGAGTCATTGAGTATGGTTTTACGCTACTTGTAGCAATATTCCAACAATATCACGGCGGGGGACACCAAAAATGGGCTTCAAACTTGTACCCATGTCGGGAATCGAACCGTTGTCTTCGGCGTGACGAGCAAACGCTTTAACCACAGGGCGACCCGACCGCCCCTAGTTTGCGATGGAAATGTATGGGGTGATTTTATGCCACTTTGACAGTATTTCAGTTCAGTCTCACCATCTGAATTGCAGGTATCGATATGGTACTCCATTAGCTTACACTAATTGCAAAACTAGTCGACTTTTTGCTAGAAAATCAATGGCGCGTGTGTTTTATGCATGAATATGACAAGTTTTGGATTGCCTTTTTAATCAAGAGGCGATAGCTTCTTTGAGTGGCATTTAGAAGTTGGAGTGATGATGTAAGACGAGTTCTATGGATGAACAACTTCTTTATTACAATTAGTGCGACGTTTCGGTGTAGATCCTAACACCTTTATCAAGCAAGTGATGGATATGGCTAAACAACAACAACCAAACGTCGCTTTTCACAGTATTAAAGAAGTTGTTATCCATAAAAATATTGTGTCTATCTTGTCATCCGTCAACTTCTAAGTAATGCCTATCAAACAAGTTATCAAGATCCTGGCCAACAACCAATCAGACTACAAAATCAGGAAACTCCTAGAAGCCATCTACATCAAAAGGATCCAGCCAGCAATGAACAGAGACCAAGGCTATTACATCCCGCCTGCTTACCATCACCTAATTGCTAAATCCCTTTGTCCATCCAATTAATACAGTGGCTTCCATCATCTCCATCAGTCTGCTTGTTTACTCTCCTAGTATACTGTGTTCATTAGTCATCCACTGGCTTCCAATTAGCTTAATCACCTCTCTGTGTCCATCAACGAGTCACTGTAACAAGTTAGATGTCAATAAGTGTGTATATATACCTATGTTGTTTAGCCCTATCTTACACCTCACCTGGGAGGCTCACGTCCAAAACCTAAAAACTAGATGCAGCAAAGACCTTAACACACTAAGATGTCTCACCGGCTCTAACTGGGGAGCCTCCAAAGATACCCTCCTCTCACTCTATACAGCACTAATTAGATCAAAACTAGACTACGGCTGCGCCATATACAACACCCTAAACCACTCTCTATCTAAAAAACTTGACTCAATCCAATACCAAGCCCTTAAACTAATTACACGCACCCAACATGGCACCTCCTACACCTCACTTCAGGCCCTTACAGGAGAAATGCCACTAAATCTACGCAGGGAACATCTAAGCCTTAATTTCTGGGCCGCGTCCCAAACAAACCCTCTCATCCAAAACCTAATTAACCAAAACATTAGCCCAAGAAACCAAGCTCTAGCTCGCAAACACCCCTTACTCACCCCAATATCCCAAAGAATAACTAACTACCTCAATGAACACCAAACTCAAAATCTTAAACAAAACTGCAAAAAATCAAATATCTTCACCCCTAAACTCAAAATACCCCAAATAGACACAACACTAACTAACCAAATAAATAAACAAACCGACCCAAACATAGCTAAAACAACCACACTTTCATACATACACGAAAATTGGCCAAATTGGTGTCACATATACACTGACGGATCTTCAGACCCGATCTCCAAACACACAGGTTTCGGAGTCCATACCACACAACCAGTTATATCCACACAATCTTACCGACTCCCAAACAACCAATCTATATTCACGGCCGAACTTATGGGCATGGCCTCAGCCCTGCATAACCAACAATCAAAAAACCACAAAAAAATCCTAATTCTCACTGACTCGCTTAGTGGACTACAAGCCCTCCAAAACAAAAATACCAAAAAACGACCTAAATTAATAAACCAAATACTTAAAAGCTCCAACGACCTAACAAAAGCAGGCAAACAAATAACCTTCTTGTGGATCCCCGCCCACGTAGGAATTTACGGCAACGAAAGCGCCGATAAAGCAGCTAAATTATCTCTCAAAATACCAGAAATAAGCCTAAACCTACCCATCTCAAAATCAGAAATTAAAAGTGTAAACAAACAAAAAATAACCAAAAAATGGCATAATCAATATCAAAACTCAAATAGCCAAGTCAAAAAAGTGCTCAGAAAACCACTAGCCAAACCTAAAATCCTTCACCCCTCTAAAAAAATTGACAGATTAATTACAAAACTCCAAACAGGACACACGAACCTAAATAACCACCTAAAACAACTTAAAAGACACACCACAGGCAACTGCCCCCACTGCAAACAACCCGAAACCACAGAACACGCACTCATCCACTGCACCCACTACCAAACACACAGAACCACACTACAAACCAACCTCAATCTAAATAAGGTTCCTACTCTAGATGAAATACTAAACCCTCAAAATAAACTAGAAAACTTCAAGGCCCTAGGCGTATTCCTAATCAAAACAGGCCTAATTAAGCGCATCTAAAAACTAATTAATCTACCAACCCAAAATCCAATAAACATACAAATACCCACCTCACCCAGCTCCCTTAGTTCCCTCCTCCATCCACCTAGGCATTTATTCCAAATTTTAAAATTTCAAAAATCGATATAAGCAACCCCTAAAAGCCCCCCTCTTGTGTTGCACACACCACTTTCACCCTTCTCGGAATACACTAAATGGTCTGGCCAGGCCCGTGTGCGAAATACGCTGCAGTCGGAAAGCGCACGTTAAATCTTCTATATCAGTCAGTCAGCCCTATCCATCACTTGCTTGATAAAGGTGTTAGGATCTACACCGAAACGTCGCACTAATTGTAATAAAGAAGTTGTTCATCCATAGAACTCGTCTTACTTCAAGAGGCGATGGGTTGTTAATGCACACATACAATGGTAATACTTTTCATGTGTGCTTTGCTTTGCAGGGCTCTTGACGAGAAGGCGTTATGGAACGAGTTTAAAGAAAGAGTAGAATTTGAACTGAACTTTCGATGGAATGAGAATGTAAAAAGTGACAAAAATGAAGAGACCATGACGATCATTAAAACCATACTTCGCCAGTTTTCCTCGAAATATACCAGGAATGTCAAGTTGGATGACATCACAAGCGAGGATGACCTTCATGCTTTGAAACAGATTCGAATCCAAGACACAGGACAGTTTCCTGATATTGTCAAGAAACTGAAAAACCAAATTCTGAAAAAGGAAATGGATGAACTAGAACAAGACTTAACAGAAAAGGCAGACTCTTTCGTTCCAATGGGAACACACTTCAGAATGTTGGGATCCGGAAAGAGCAGCACTGATGGTGAAGTATGCATGGCAGCACGCAGGCTGAATAACAGGCTTGATGAGGTGCTGAAGACGGACCTAATTGTCAAATACAATGAGACAACTCCAGGTAAATACATCTCGGATGATGAGAAGAGATTCATGAGAAGGCTACCATCTTCTACCGGCACCAGCTCAACGGTCAACCCCGTCCTCCGCCATCTTTACAACGTCAGCATTGACAGCGATGTGGAGGAAATCGAGACTCTGTGGCAGAAGTTCCGATGTGAAGGAAGTCGTTTCAGTCTTAGGGATGCAGATCACCGACTGTTTAAATACTACATCAGCGCTCCTGAAATTCCACAAAAGCTAAAGGCAAAGGCGAAAGGGTTTCTGAATCTGTTAGAGGATGCGGGAGTCATTTCCAGGCACAGGAAGAGACAGTATAGGTTCTGATTACAAAGGCCTCTAATTATTTACAGTTTCAACTTGAACTTATGTATCAAGAAATAGATGCGGGAGACATTTGTTTTTTTAGAGTAAAAACACATTCTAGTTTCAAAATTGGATTTCTTTAGAAGTATTACATTGAGAAATAACCTAGAAGAATATTTGTAAAGTATTAAAGTATTAGTGTAAAGAATTGCTCTGTATATTTCGGGGCTCAAAGCTTTTAATTGAACAATTGTGCCTACGGCCCGTGGAAGGAAGGTCTGACGAGGGGCCCGACAGTAGTTTGTATCGGTCCTATTGGCCTGCAGTACATTTACGTACCGTTTATTGTACAAAAAGCTGCAGTTTTAAAAATGTTTTTGTGACAAATATGTTGGTTGGTTGGTTTGTTGTTTAACGCCGCACTCAGCAATATTCCAGCTATGTGACGGCGGTCTGTAAATAACTGTTTAAAACTAGAACTGTAGGCCTCCAGCAACCAAAGCTAGGCCACTTCGCTTGGGATCAGGGGGACTAACGGTGCCTCGGTCTATAATAATCGAGTCTGGGCCAGACAATCCAGTGATTGACATCATGAGCATCGATCCACGCAATTGGGATCGATGCCATGCATCAATAAAATCAGCGAGCCTGACCACCCGATCCCGTTAGTCGCCTTTTAATACAAGCATTGTCACTTTTTACGGCAAGCATGGGTTGCTGAAGACCTGTTATGTACAATCAGTTCCTCATCGTAGTTCACCTTGCACATTAATTTCTATAGCTACCGCAATCACTACGTCTCCCTGTCGATGTAACCAGTCAAAACGCAAGCTCCTCATTGTTGGGTTTTTGGCATCGCAGAACGATCTCAAATCAACAAGTGTCGTACGTGGAAGGTATCACGCCTAAAATCTCAGCTAAGGACATGTTGTAGAAACAAAGTAAGTATGACACGAACTGTAGGAAATGAACGTTTCAGAAAAATGGGGTGATGAATTTCGTTTGTGGCTGTTGATGGAAAAAGTATGTCTTGTGAAACCTGCAGGGTGCGGGACATTGAGTGTTTGTAGTATACATGTACAGTAAACTACGGTTATAACGAACACGCTTATAACGAACTGACGGATATAACGAACTTACTTTTTGGTCCCGACTACTTGCTGTAGTCATGCTGTATATGTACATATAACGAACTACGGTTATAACGAACTAAAATTAGTAGTCCCTTTGAGTTCGATAACCGTAGTTTACTGTATTCGGATATGTATCAAGGAAATTTAATTGTCGATTGTCAAATGTAAATACTTGAGAATCAATAATGCAACTTTGATGATGATTTTGTAGCTCTGATTAATGTCCTACTCGTCTTTCCGGTTTACTTGCATTGAATAGACCAGGCCCAATGGTCGCTTTGTGAGCAATCAAACACTTGTTAACGTCTCACAGCAGTGTTTAAAAACATTACACGTGGCTTTTGTCACGAATACTTAACCATGCCCTATTGTGGAGGTCATATCATATTGTCGTGACATTGGTACTAGGCAACTTATAACTGCACACCTCTTTTGTCAAATATCAACACAACCATTGCTCTATAAGCATTTGTTTCCTTCTGTAACACGTCTAGTTTTTTTAATGTATTAAATGTATTTTTATATATTTTTGTATTTACTTGCTTTTATGTGTCTCATGGGCAATTTTGGCCGGACCACTCGCCAATCTCATTAAAATCAGATCTTTGTTCTCGCGATCGCTAAACAAAGATCACAGGACATCCCATTAAGGGTCACGTCAGAACGACCTTTCATCCAACCAATCACAGCGTCGCTTACCAGATCATGAAAGTGACAGTCGGAATGTGTTTTCTAACCATGCGATCACGACATATTTAACAGAGGGTATTCCGAACGACTGTTACGGGTTTTATGATTATACCCATACAATCTAGGCCATCTGTAAGCCATTCCAGAGTGTTCTTCTTATCAGTTTTAATTTTTTTAAATCGAGAATACGTCAAAATATGTTTCGAAGCGAAGTCGCCAGTTTTAAACTAGTGTCGTAAAGCTTGAGAAAGCTGCCTTCTGATTGGCTAATGTCGATTTCTTGTCAGTAATTTCATTGGTCGATCATAATTAGCGAAAGGTCGTTCTGACGTGACCCGTAATGGGATGTCCTCAGATCTATGTTTAGCGGTAGCGAAAACTAAGATCTGATTTTAATGAGATTGGACCACTCGCCGTCTTTGCTCAAATAAATCAAGCATACATGTATTTATTTCTGTATGTAATCGATTACGGTATGTTGTGTGACAATAATAAACTGTATTCTTATCTTATGTAAATAGTGAGTTAAAATTTAAGTCGCATCGGCTTTATTTCAGCAATATAGTAACGAGAACAAGTTGACATATTTACAATTGAGTCATGAATACAAAGTTATGTGTAGAATAACATAACATATGTTATCATAATAATATTATTTTCAACTGTTTAAAACTGGAACTGTGGAACCGAAGCTAGGCCACTTCGCTTGGGATCAGGGAGACTAACGGGGCCTCGGTCTATAATAATCGAGTCTGGATCAGACAATCCAGTGACTGACATCATGAGCATCGACCCACGCAGTTGGGATATGAAGGCATGCATCAGCCAAGTCAGCGAGCCTGACCACCCGATCCCGTTAGTCGCCTCTTACGACAAACATGGGTTGCTGGAGACCTAATTCTAACCCAGATCTTCATAACACCCAGACACCCTTGCATATACAAATTAAAACATAACGCTGTGTGTACTGCATCCTGTGAATCAATTCATTTGGATCACGATCTGAGAGAGAAAGAATACGTACCGTATATAATGTATGGAATATTAACGGTGCTTTCATAAGTGAACAAGGGGTCACACGTAAATAGGGCTACAGACCACACCCTAGTCAAAAGGGCCACGCCCAAAGTCAGAATTGACAAATGAAAAAGTATAAAAATAGGACATATAAAGTGTTAGTTTCTATTTGTTTGCTCTATTTATCTAATAAATCCAATAGGATGTACGGGGGCACGGGTCCATTGGACGCGCCAGAAACCAATGATTGTGGGTTCGAATCCCGGTTCACCCCAATTATATTTCTAGGTTTGTCAGCACCATACCCGTGCTTGGGTGAATTTGTACCTTTGTGTTGGCCATGGAGTGAGTGAATGAGTCAGTGAATATGGTTTTACGCCGCTCTTAGCAATATTCCAGCAATATCACGGCGGTGGCTACCAGAAAATGGGCTTCACACAATGTACCCCTGTGGGGAATCGAACCCGGGCCTTCGGCGTGACGGGACATGGAGGAAGACACCAGATTAAGAACTCTGATAGTGATGTCTGCCTACCGTTGAAAGTATTTGTTAATAAACTTTATGAAGACAGAAGGATAAAACAAAATTTTGACCAATGTGTTTGTGACCGTTTTGACGGGTGGTCCTTTGGACTATAACCCTTTCGTTGTTTACAGGTGGTCGTCAACACAAAAGTAAGACATGTCTGACTGTTTTTGAAAATCCCTCTGAATTCAAACTATCTGCTGTTACTAACACGGTGAAGTATACACTGCATTGAACAACAAAAGTACCAACCTTTTTCAATATAAATCTCGTATAACACGCACGACAATCGATCGACCTCGTTTTGAGAGTGACATGAACGTTTGAGTTTTTGCCATTGCAAATTGACATGGAACCACGACATGATTAATTAACGAAGACAGCTGCATGTGTGCTAATACTTATCAAGTGAAAGGGGCGGTCGAGTAGCCTAGTGGTTAAAGCGTTAGCTCGTCACGCCGAAGACCCGGGTTCGATTCCCGACATGGGTACAATGTGTGAAGCCCATTTCTGGTGTCCCCCGCCGTGATATTGCTGGAATATTGCTAAAAGCGGCGTAAAACCTCACTCACTCACTCTCTATCAAGTGAAAACAGGGCATTCGGGCGATAAGCAGTATTACTCACAGTGATGACAAAATTGCAAAGTGGTCTTTGCAAGAAATATTTTGCTAGCGATAAACACCATTGAGGCTTGATCACGGCAGAGACCATATACCCCCTGAGGATCGACAGTGGGGTGACTGAGCGGTAAAATGTAGCACGAACTGAACGAAAGATACCGTATATCGGTATGTATGCATATGTCGTATTTACTCAAGTTCACTGCCAAATAAAACCGCTCACATGCACCTGACTGTCGATTCTTTCCCAGATTGTGACTTGAATTTACACTTAACGAGTGTCAGAGTTCTTTTATTTCCCAATCGATAACAATAAAAGGCTTATACGTGAATTCTTACATTGGTTTCGTAAAATGAGTATGACACACACGCGAGTGTAATTATTTCTTTATTACCCATTCTTTGTTAATCCTTTTGAGCTCCCCTTTACTAGGGGGCACGGGTGGCCCAGTCGTCTAAGGCGCCGCGATTCGCTGTGCAGAGTTGCGTCCCTTGGACACGCCAGAAACCTATGATTGTGGGTTCGAATTCCGGTTCGCCCCGATTATGTTTCTAGGTTTGTCAGCACCATACCCGTGCTCGTGGGTTTCAACGAAGTGGTAAACGTCTGAGACCTGCATCACTTCGGGCTTTCCTCCCACATTAAGCTGACACGCCGTGATATAACTGGAATATTGTTAAAAGCGGCGTTAAACCCAACTCACTCACTCACTTACTCCCCTTTAGTAAGATACACTTATCACGACGGCCGTCTGAGAAAACCACAATTGTCGAATGACGTCAACAATCTTCAGCTCTGGTGACGTTTCTAGTACGTTATTCCGACCGTGTGTCATCAATGAGATTCGAATGACGTCAACAATGCTGTCCGGATGACGTAAACGATACACTGGTGCGCGTGACAATTGTTCTTGTGCACCTTCGATTTTTTTAACTCTGTTATTTCTAACCCTATGGGTCATAAATTCTATTTTACACGGTCCCTGGGTTCATTGCGCTTGTTTTCTCATTGTTAGCGAGCTGCTGACTTCATAGACTACGTTCACTAGTTCCCCTTGCCGGAAAAATCCGAATACTAAATTTAGTTAGATCCCACTCATCTAAAGTTCGACCCGTGAAGATTCCGGGGTAGAATAGGTCTTCAGCAACCCATGCTTGCCGTAAAAGGTGACTATGCTTGTCGTAAAAGGCGACTAACGGGATCGGGTGGTCAGGCTCGCTGACTTGGTTGATGCATGTCATTGATCCCAATTGCGTGAATCGATGCTCATGATATTAATCACTGGACTGTCTGGTCCAGACTTGATTCTTTACAGACCGCCGTCATATAGCTGGAATATTGCTGAGTATGGCGTTAAACAACAAACAAACCAAATCATCTAAAGTTCTTTGAATTGATTTTATAATATAGCGTAATTAGTTCACAAAAAGCTTTTGAAATCCAATTGTCTTGAGTGCAACCTGATACCTCTATGTATGTAAAAAGAATTTAGACAAAAATCCCATTGTAGACACCCGCTTGTTTACGTTTACCGACGTCATGGTGTGGTATGCAGTAACTTGTTTGTTTGACTGTTGTTTAACGCCGCACTATGGCATCTGCTTGCAATATCGGTATGATGTGGTTTGCAATTAAAATCAGATATTTATTTGTGTGAGATCGACAAGTTTAATGCGGTCTTATAATCCCCAAACGTTAGGTTTACATGTTATGGCATTACAGACTCGAAGCAAAAATTATACGGGAACACGTTCCAGATACGCCTAACACTCTCCCAAACACGACCCCACTTAACGTGCTGCACGCTTTTGGTCATCAATGGGTTGGGCAGACGATACTTCATTGCATTGTGTCACCAAATGTTTACGTCAGTATCATAAGGGAGGATGTTTTCTTGTGAATCGAAGATACAGTGTTTGAACTTTCACCAGCAGTACAGTTTCAAGTGGATTGGACATAATTCTTGTGTTCACATTTTGTGCGATTGCATCTTTGTGGACAAAAAGCGTGGGGATTTTGATAAATGGAATTGAAGATACAATGTTTGAACTTTCACCAGCAGTACAGTTTCAAGTGGATTGGACATAATTCTTGTGTTCACATTTTGTGCGATTGCATCTTTGTGGACAAAAAGCGTTGGGTCTTGATAAATGGAATTGAAGATACAATGTTTGAACTTTCACCAGCAGTACAGTTTCAAGTGGATTGGACACAATTTTTATGTTCACATTGTGTGCGGATGCATATTTGTGGACTGAGAACGATGGAGACTTGAAAAATGACATCGGCAGTGGAACATGTTCCCGTTATGCCTAACACCCTCCCAAATGCGACCCTCGCTTGTCGCGGTTGTCAAGAGTTGCTTGGCTCTCTCTTCACAAGGTTGGCAGACGACACCAAACTTACAAGTCAGTTGCATTAGTGGATTAGGGGCGGTCGGGTAGCCCAGTGGTTAAAGCGTTCGCTCGTCACGCCGAAGACCCGGGTTCGATTCCCGACATGGGTACAATGTGTGAAGCCCATTTCTGGTGTCCCCCGCCGTGATATTGCTGGAATATTGCTAAAAGCGGCGTAAAACCAAACTCACTCATAAGTGGATTAAAGATGTGTTGTTGTGAATTGAAGACAGTGTTTGAAGTTTCTCAATGCTCTCCAGTTGCATGTGGATTG